TCAAAAAAAAAAAAAAAAAAAGTTTTCTATATAAGGAGTTGTGCGTCCCATGGGAATGACTCACTCCAGAGATTAGAATTGTCCAGTTGCAAATTTGTGCCTGGCTAGACACGAGCCAGTGATAAGCAGGAGGCTCCTTGGGGACGCTGCCATAGTGTGAGCCCAAGGCTGTGGCTGAGGGCAGGGCCAGAGCCTACGCTGTTCTAGGCTAGGCACGCAAAGCAGGCTGGCGTAACGGGATCCCTCCTGTCAGACCCCGACTGCCACCTGCCCACTTCTTGCCCACTCTGGGTGACCTCACTGAGACGAATGGCTTGGTGATTACTTCTACCTCTCTTCGAACTGCAGACACAAGAACCTGATGTCTCTTAGGGATTGCCACTTGGATGGCAAATGGGACCTCAAATTTTTTTTTTTTTTTTTAGTAGAGATAGAGTCTTACTCTGTCGCCCGGGCTGGAGTGAAGTGGCACCATCTCCACTCACTGCAACCTCCGCCTCCCGGGTTCAAACAATTCTCTTCCTCAGCCTCCAGAGTAGCTGGGACTACAGGCGCATGCCACCACACCTGGCTAATTTTGTGTATTTTTAGTAGAGATGGGGCTTCACCATGTTGGCCAGGTGTGTCTTGAACTCCTAACCTCATGATCTGTCTGCCTTGGCTTCCCAAAGTGCTGGGATTACACCTGTGAGCCACCGAGCCCGGCCGGGACCTCCTGCTTAACACGTCCAGATCAGAGCTCATCATTTGTGTCTGGCTGGTTCCTCCCCATGTTTCTTACCTCAGTAAATGACACCAGCGTCATCCAGGTGTTTCTTACCTCAGTAAATGACACCAGCGTCATCCAGTAATTCAGGCTAAATTCACAGGCATTCTCCTTCTTCTTTTTTTTTTTTTACACAAGATCTCCCTCTATCACCCAGGCTGGTGGGCAGTGGCATGATCAAAGCCCCACTGCAGTCTTGACCTCCCAGGCTCAAGCGATCCTCCCATCCCAGCCTTCCTAGCAGCCGGAACTACAAGGGTGCAGCATGGCATGACTCCTCCCATTCCCTCCCTGCATCTGATCCATTGGCAAATCCTACTGGCTCTATGTGTGAGATACATCCGGAATTCCAGCACTTCTCCCTCCTTCTTGGCCTAGTTAGGGACTGAGAGCAACAGCCTCTCAAGTCACGTCCTTATGCCCTGTCATCCTGCAGAGCCTCTGAACACGTAGCTCAAAGAGTGACATTCCTTTGCTTTTTAACCCTGAGGTTCTTGCTTCTGTGCTTATGGGACCTAGCCTCTGGCTCCTACTTTGCCCTTATTTTTTCTTTCCTCGGTCATTTTTGTTAAAACCGTGATGGTCAGTCATGGTGGCTCACACCTGTAATCCCAGCTATTTGAGAGGCCAAGGCAGGAGGATCGCTTGAGGCCAGAAGTTTGAAACCAGCCTGGGCAGCATAGTGAGATCTCTACAAAGAAAAAAAAAATGGCCATGTAGGGTGGTACGTGACTGCAGTCCTAGCTACTCTGGAGGCTGAGCCAGGAGGATTGCTTGAGGCTGGGATTTCCAGGCTGCACTGAGCTAGGATTACACGACTACACTCTAGCTTGGGCGACAGAGGGAGACCCTTTCTCTAATTATTATTATTTTTTATTTATTTTTGAGATGGAGTCTCGCTCTGTTACCAGGCTGGAGTGCGGTGGCATGATCTCGGCTCACTGCAACTTCCGCCTTCCAGGTTCAAGCAATTCTCCTGCTTCAGCCTCCTGAGTAGCTGGGACTACAAGTGTGCGCCATCACACCCAGCTAATTTTTGTATTTTTAGTAGAGAAGGGGTTTCACCATGTTGGCCAGGATGGTCTTGATCTCTTGACCTCATGATCCACCTGCCTCTGCCTCCCAAAGTGCTGGGATTACAGGTGTGAGCCACCACACCTGGCCCCTTTCTCTAATTTGAAAAAAGAAAAATCGGCCGGGCACTGGTGGCTCACATCTGTGATCCCAAGACTTTGGGAGGCTGAGGCGGATGGATCACCTGAGGTAGGTCAGGAGCTCAAAACCAGCCTGGGCAACATGGTGAAACTCTGTCTCTACTAAAAATACAAAACTAAGCTGGGCACGGTGGTGTGTGCCTGTAATCCACGCTACTCGGGAGGCTGATGCAGGAGAATTGTTAGTGCCCACAATCTCGGCTCACCGCGAGGTGGAAGTTGCAGTGAGCCAAGATTGCGCCATTGCACTCCAGACAGAGTGAGACTCCGTCTCAGGAAATAAAAAAAAAAAACAACAAAAAAAGAAAAACTGTGGTGTGCCTCTCTGCCATTCTGACTTCCCAAGTTTGTGGTAGTCACAAGGCTTTTGACTTGAGGCCGGGTCCCTTCGCCATCCTGTTAGGATGACGACATTTCTTGTCACTATCCCCTCCTTAGTGTTTGATCTTCGTAGCACGGATTTAGCTAACGTTAGAGTATTCGTTTCCCGTGGCTGCTATGACAGAGCACCAAAAACCTGATGGCAGAAAACAAGAGACATTTATTTTCTCACAGTTCTGGAGACCGGAAGGCTGAAATCAGATTGTTGGATATCAATCCGGAAATCAATCTGCTCTGTCTTCTTTTAGGCATTTTATAGTTTTGGGTCTCACGTTTAAGTCTTTTTTTTGTTTTTTTCTGCCTAGCTGTTTTGGCCAGGACGTCTAATACTAAGCTGAATGGAAGTGTTAAGAGTGGGCATCCTTGTCTTATTCCTGATTACAGGAAAAGCTTTATGTCCTTTTTATTTTTCATTTTATTTATTTATTTTTTTGAGACAGGGTGTCACTCTGTTATCCAGGCTGGAGTGCAGTGGTGTGATCATGGCTCACTGCAATCTCAACCTCCCAGGCTCAAGCAATCCTCCTGCCTCAGCCTCCCCAACAGCTGGGACTACAGGCATGTGCCACCATGCCTGGCTAATTTTTGTATATTTCATAGGGATGGGGCTTCGCCATGTTGCCCCGGCTGGTCTTGAACTCCTGGGTCAAGACATCTGCCTCCCTCAGCCTCCGAAAGTGCTGGGATTACAGGTGTGAGCCACCACGCCGAGCCCAGCCTTTCACTGTGAGGTATGGAAGCTGTGCGCTTTCATGTATAGCCTTTATTAGGTGAAGTGGTTTGCTTCTATTCCAGTTGGTTGAATGTTTTTATCATGAAAGGGTATTGGATCTTGCTGCTGCTTCTGCAGCAACTGAGATGATCATGTGATTGCCTTTCATTCTGTTTATATGTTATTTTTTAGGGATTGATTTTCATGTGTTGAAACATGCTTAGATTTCAGGAAAAATCCCACTTGTTTTTAATCTGCGACTGAATTTGTTTTGCTTGTATTTTGTTGAGGATTTTTGCATCGATGTTCATAAAGGATATTGGCCTGTAGTTTGCTCTTCTTGTGTCTTTGGTAGTAGCATAATGCTGGCCTCTCTTTTTTATTTTTTCAAAATTTTTTGCATATTGAGTGAAAAAAGAATTTTTTTGAGACAGAGTCTTGCTCTGTTGCCCAGGCTGGAGTACAGTGGCATGATCTCAGTTCACTGCACCCCCCGCCTCCCGTGTCCAAGCAATTCTGCCTCAGCCTTCCAAGTAGCTGGGATTACAGGCGCCTGCCACCACACCCAGCTAATTTTTTGTATTTTTAGTAGAGATGCATTTCACCATGTTGGCCAGGATGGTCTTGAGCTCCTGACCTCGTGATCCACCTGCTTCAGCCTCCCAGGGTGCTGGGATTACAGGTGTGAGCCACCGCGCCCAGTGCTGGCCTCTTAAAATGAGATTGGATTTGTTCCCTCTTCTTCAGTTTTCTGGCAGTGTCAGGAGGATTGGTGTTAATTTTTTAAATGTTTGTTAGAATTCTCCAGTGAAGCCATCTGGTCCTGGGCTTTTCTCTATTGGGAGACTTTTTATTACTGATTCAATCTCCTTACTCATTATTGGTCTGTGCTGATTTTCTATTTCTTCATGATTCAGTCTTGGCAGGTTGTGGCTTTCTAGGAATTTATCCATTTTATCTAGATTTTTCAATTTGTTGGCATATGAGTATTCTAGCTGCTTCTTCTTTTCCCCCCGCCGAGATGGGGTCTTACTCTGTCACCCAGATTGGAGTGTGCAGTGGCACAACCATAGCTCACTGCAGCCTTGACCTCCTAGGCTTAAGTGATCCTCCTGCCTTGGCCTCCCAAAGTGTTGGGATTATAGGCATGAGCCACTCCGCCCAGGCCTAGCTTCTCATAAGAATACCTGCAATGGGACTGAGGGTCCTGCAGGTTAATCTCCCTGCCTCTCAAGATCCTAACTTAATCACGTCTACAAAAACCCTTTTTCCATATAAGGTAACTCTTAGGGGCGGAAGTGTGTCTTCCCAAAATTTATATGTTGAAGCACTAACTCCAATACTGCAGAACATGACTGTATTTGGAGATATAATCTTTAAAAAAAATTTTTTTTTTTTGACACGCAATCTCAGTTCACTGCAACCTTCACTTCCTGGGTTTAAGCGACTTACCTGTCTCAGCCTCTGGAGTAGCTGGGATTACAAACAGGCACCACCAGGCCCAGCTAATTTTTTTTTTTTCTGAGACAGAGTTTTGCTCTTGTTGCCCAGGCTGGAGTGTAATGGTGCAGTCTCAGCTCACTGCAACCTCTGCCTCCTGGGTTCAAGGAATTCTGCCTCAGCCTCCTGAGTAGCTGGAATTACAGGCATGCACCACCACGCCTGGCTAATTTTGTATTTTTAGTAGAGACGGGGTTTCTCCATATTGGTCAGGCTGGTCTTGAACTCCCAACCTCAGGTGATTTGCCTGCCTCGGCCTCCCAAAGTGCTGGGATTACAGGCGTGAGCTACTGTGCCGGACCTAATTTTTTTTTTTTTTTTTGTATTTTTAGTAGAGACAGGGTTTTGCCATGTTAGCCAGGCTGGTCTCAAACTCTTGACCTCAAGTGATCTGTCTGCCTCAGCCTCCCAAAGTGCTGGGATTACAGGCATGAGACACCGTGCCTGGCCTATTTTATTGTGGATGGGTGGAAGGGCGGATGGGTAGATGGATGGGTGGATAAGTGTATGGATGGAAAGATGGATGGATTGATGTGTGGATGGGTGGATGGGTGGTTGGGTAGATGGGTAGATGGATGGACAGGTGGATGAATAGGTGGGTGGATGTGTGAATAGATGAATACATGGGTGGAAGTGTGGATGGGTAGATGGAATGGTGGATGAGTGTATGGATGGACAGATGGGTGGGTAGATGGATGGTTGGATGGGTAGATGGATGGGTGGGTAAATGGGTGGGTGGATGGACAGGTGGATGAACAGGTGGGTGGATGAGTGGATGGATGGATGGGTGGGTGGGTGGATGGATGGGTGGATGAGTAGATGGATGGGTGGGTAAATGGGTGGGTGGATGGACAGGTGGATGAACAGGTGGGCGGGTGGATGGATGATGGATGGATGGATGGGTGGAAGGGTAGATGGGTAGATGGACAGGTGGCTGAGTGTATGTATGATGGGTGGGTGGGTGGGTGGATGGATGGGTAGATGGATGGCAGGTGGGAGTGTGGATGGATGGATGGGTGGAAGGGTAGATGGGTAGATGGACAGGTGGCTGAGTGTGTGTATGATGGGTGGGTGGGTGGATGGATGGGTGGATGGACGGCAGGTGGGTGGATGGATGGGTGGATAGGTGGACAGATGAACGGGTTGATAGCTCTCCTTTGCCACTACTCTAGGGCAGGCTGTGTCACCCCTCCCAGGACCATTGCAGCAGCCCTCTGTGCATGTCCTTGAACCACACCCATCACCCCCTCTGATCCATCCGTCAGTCCTTAGAGCTGCCCTCTCCTGCCAGACATTCTGGCTGTCCTGTCCTCCACCTGAAAGGCTCGACCTTCTCTGTTCTATTCTTTGCCTGGTAAAACGTTCTTGCCCTTTACTGTCCTCCGGGAAGCTCTCCCTGAGCACTAGCCTCCACCAGCTTTCTCTTTCCCTCCCAGCTCCTTCTGGCACTGCAAAGGTCCTTGTGTGCAAACCTGCAGATGCTCCAGTCTGCACGGCGAGCCCCATCCACACTCCCAGTGAATAGCTCTGTTGCCACGTTTCTGGCTTAGGGGTGTGCACACTCAGCACAGGGGCCCCCCTCTCAGGAGGATGGCGCAGGCCTGAGGCTGTGAGTCCTGGAAGAGGACTCGTGGTTGGGGAGGGAAGTCCAGTATCTGGTACCCAGGGCGTGGTCCAGAGGTGTGGATGTGGGCTGCAGGTGAGCACGTTCCCAGGCCCCATGGATTTCTGGCCTCAAAGGGAGGAGGAAGGGCCAGAATGGGAACGGGAACATCTGAGTAAGGATGGAGCTGAGCCTGCGCTTCTCAAAGAAGCCAAAGGATGCCTTAATGGGCCACACATGAGGGTGGGTCTTCCTTAGAGTGGACTGTTTCAGAATGATTACCCTTGACTGTCTTCTAAGTTTTCTTAGGTCAGCCATCTTTCCTCTCTGTCTCTGTCTCTCTCTCTGTTGAGACAGGGTCTTGCTGTCTCACCCAGGCTGGAGTGCAGTGACACAATCATAACTCACTGCAGCCTCGAACTCCCAGGCTCAAGTGATCCTCCCACCCCAGCCTCCCAAGTAGCTGGGACCACAGGCATAAGCCACCACTCTTGGGTAATTTTTTTTTTTTTGTAGAGATAGGGGTCTCACTATGTCGCTCAGTTGGTCTCAATCTCCTGGCCTCATTGTTAAAGAACAAGCCAAACTTGGAGAAAGATCGATGCCCCAGAAGCCAGCAGCAGGGACTTTTGGTTGGGAACCTTTCAAATACACTGTGGGAGGTTCCCGGAAGCAGAGCCCTGGTCCGCCTTCAGGCCAGGGAGTTGAAGGCAGATGAAATCATATCAAGAAACCCAAGACACAGTTTCCTTTAAAGGTTTTCATTTATTAGTCTTTTCTGAAGCAGTTAATTCTCTTTTCTTATTAAAAAAAAAAGATGTGTTTCATCCAGAGTTATATCAGAGTGATTAAAATGATTTTTCTACTGAGGATACAGCTCCCTGGATCAGAAAAAAAAAATTCTCTTTTTTTTCAATGAACCACAAAAATAAAACCAAAAGAGAACATCAACAATCAAAAATAATCCCCAAATATCCAGGACAAAAAATAAAATATTTATTGATCTATCACAGCGAGACACAAAAAGATGGGCAGGGCAGGGGTGGGAACTGCTTTGAAGTCCAGTGGACTGAGGGAGGGATGGGGGATACAGTACTGCATGTGGGACACCTCGGGTGAAAAGGAGATGCCTGGCACCCCAGTCTGCACAGCCCCGCACGCCCTGGGGAGTGTCGGATGGGGGTGGAGGCAGGGCACAGGCTGCCGTGACAGGTCAGCCAGGTTGATGGCAGGTGCACCCAGCCAGCCAGTGGTGCCGGGCGGTCAACTGGGGACATGGGTGGATGGACGGATGGACGAATGGACGGATGGGTGGATGGATTCTCCAAGAGCAAGGTGGCAATTCCCAGTGTGGGGTGGTTTTCCAACCCAAAGGCACCCCAGATGTGGGGAACAGCGATCCGTGGGGAGGATGTGGCCACGTGGACTGAGGAGGGGAGGATGCTACGAGCAAATCCAGCTTTGAGGCTTCGGGTGCTTGGGTACCAACTGGATGGCAGCCAAGGGTGGGTCCTGGTGGGACTGCCCAGGAAGTGTCTGCACCATCTTTAGAGGAGCCCCTGGGGAGGGGGTTCTCCGAGGGGCCACCCTTCCCTCCTCCCTCCCCCCAGGAAGATAAGAGCACCAGCATGTAGCACCAAGTTCCCCTGGAGATGGAGGCTGTATGGAGGGGGAGCTCCTAGGTGGGAAGGGATGGGCCGGGGGCCAGGACCACGAGCCCCTTGCCTCTGAAGTGGGGGCTCCTGGTTGGGGCACTTGGCCACTCCCCTCTTTTTCCTTGCCCTGTGGATTTGCAAGGCCGCCCGGCCTGCCCGTTCCCTCCTGGGGTGGGGAGTCGGAGGGGCATGGGATAGGGTCACAAAGGGTTTACATTCTCCACCAAGCAGTAGCACCAACGTTGATGAGGTCGTGAGTCAGGGGTCCTGGGAAGCTCATTTTCTCTTCCGGCCGCAAGCCTTCCCCAGGCAGGCCCCAGCTGCATGGGAGGAGGGCACATCACTGGGAGCCTGGCCCTTCTCAGGGGCGGCTCTAACCCCCACCTGCTCTGACCCACTCAGACGGAGGCTCCAAGAAGCCACGAGAAACCAAGCTGTGGCCCCAGGCCAGACTCAGACCTGGCCCATGTCATCAACTTCCACTGGGCAGATGGGGCCAGGAGAAGCCCCCAAGACGTTACTTGGATGAGGCCGGGCAAAGTGGCCCACACCTGCAATCCCAGCACCTTGGGAGGCCAAGGCGAATGGATCATGAGGTCAGGAGTTTGAGACCAGCCTGGCCAACACGGTGAAACCCCTTCTCTAATAAAAATTGAAAAATTAGCCAGGTGTGGTGGCCCACGCCTGTCATCCCAGCTTCTCAGGAGGCTGAGGCAGGAGAATCGCTTGAACCCGAGAGGCAGAGGTTACAGTAAGCGGAGATCGTGCCACTGCACTCCAGCCTGAGTGACAGAGGAAAAAAAAAAAAAAAAAAAAAAAAAAAAGATACTACTTGGATGAAACCAACACTAGCAGAAAAGGGGGCAGGTCATGGGGTCTGCCAGGGAACGACTGGGCCTGGACAGGGTGTCTGTACCGGCTCCACTGCTCCGAGAAGCCTTTCGAGGAAAAGCTAAGAGCAGCTCCATCAAGGAGGCTGGGGTGAAGGGAGAGTCAGTGTCTGCAGGTCTGGCCCTCTCAGGGAGCTGGGTGGATCCATACAGCTGAGAGGGCATCAGATAAGTAAACTGAGGGCCAGTAGAGGGAGAGAGGGTCTTATCCACCTAGCGTCTGAGCTGGGACTCGAACCCAGGATTCCTACCCCCTCCTGGGAACGGTCTGATGGGTGAACCTGTTTCAGAGCATCAGTCTGTGTTAGGTAAGGCACCATTGTCTAGTACCTGGGCCTGGTGTAGGTCCTACCCCGGCTGGAGCCAGATGTGGCTCCTTACCGCCACCTGGTGGCAGCAAGCAGAGAGTAGGGCAGGAACAGACATCTGCCTCTGTTTTTGTTTTGAGACGGAGTCTTGCTCTGTCCTCACCCAGGCTGGAGTGCAGTGGCACAATCTCAGCCCACCCCAACCTCTGCCTCCTGAGTTAAAGCAATTCTCCTGCCTCAGCCTCTAGGATTACAGGCACACACCACCACGCCCGGCTAATTTTTGTATTTTTAGTAGAGACGGGGTTTTGCCATGCTGACCAGGCTGGTCTTGAACTCCTGACCTCAGGTGCCCTGTCTGCCTTGGCGTCACAAAGTGTTGGGATTACAGGCGTGAGCCACCACACCCGGCCCTGTCTCTGAAGTTTGTCCCCTTGTTTGGGAGATGACGCCATGATAGGGTCACAAGCAAGACTGGTGTCGGGTTGAAAACTGGGCAAAGGGTCAGTTTGGTCTTGCTTCTGCCCCCCACCCCTGGCCTCAGCTGTCTCAGCTGTGCAGTGGGGAACAGGGCTGCGTGGAAGGAAATTCACAGTCCTGGGTAACCACAGGGGCGCAGCTGTGGATTCTCTGGGACTCTTTCTGGTATCACATGGAGGGACCTTGTGGGGGAGTGAAAGAACCGCCCACAGCCTCCCCAGAGGTGAATCAATGTATTTTTTTGGGGCGGGGGTGGGATCCTGATCTATTGCCCAGGCTGCCGTGTGATGGTGCGGTCACAGCTTACTGCAGCCTTGAACTCCTGGGCTCAAGCAATCTTCTCACCTCAGCCTCCAGAGGAGCTGAGACTGCAGATTCACAGCACCACACCCAGCTAAGTTTTAAAACTTTTGTAGAGACAGGGTCTCACTTGTTGCCCAGCCTGGTCTCAAACTCCTGGGCTCAAGTGATCCTCCCACCTCAGCCTCCCAAAGTGCTGGGATTACAGGCGTGGGCCACCAGGCCCGGCCAGGTCTGCATCTTTCAGCAGGAATGTGGCTTAGCCCTAGGTGGTGGCCTCAGCCCTCCCTGCCTAGCCCAGGGTCACCTTGGACGCCCCCACTGCTGACACACCCTCCGATTTCCCTGGCTCTGTGGCTCCGGTGATCCCAGCCCTTCTCCCTCCCTGCCCCTCCAATCTCCTGCCTCTCTTTTCCAGCTGACTTCCTATAGCAGGCTAAGGGACTTTGGGGGGGTGAGCCTGGAGGACACTGAGTGCACACCCATCTCTGAGTGTCTGTGTGGCAGGTAGGAGGGATGGGCGGGAGGTATCCTTCCTCCTTCCGTAACCTCCCCGCTCCAGAAGCCAGGCTGGCGGACTATCCCTCCGCCTCTGTCTCTGCCCCTCCCGCCCTGCCTCTTTGTGGGGCTGAATCTCTACTCACCTTGGTATCCCAGGGCTCCCAGGGCCCCTCCATAGGGCTTGAGGGGTTTTCCTGTGGATGGGGAGGACAGGATGGAGGAGGCAGCCCGCTTTTCCTGCGTCTCTCAGCTGCTCTACCCTGCACCTGGCCTCCATTCTGTCTCAGCAGGTTCCAAAGGCCTTCCTGCCTCCAGCCTGCCCCTCAGCCCCACGCAGCCATGCTCCTTGTAAATCACAGATGCATCCGGTCTGTGGAGACCTGAGTGCCCAACCCCACCCCACCCAGTCAGCCCAACCTATTTCCCAGGCTCAGCCTTGCCCACTTGACCACTCAGCTTCCCCTCCCAGCCTACCCTGCTTGTCCTGACCTTATTCTTCCCTTACACAGCTTATTTCTCTTTCTTTTTGAAATATTTTAGGCCACATATGGTGGCTCATGCCTGTAATCCCAGTACTTTGGGAGGCTGAGGCGGGTGGATCACCTGATGTCAGGAGATCGAGACCAGCCTGACTAACGTGGCGAAACCCCATTTCTACTAAAAATATAAAACTTAGCCGGGTGTGGTGGTGGGTGCCTGTAATCCCAGCTCCCTGGGAGGCTGAGACAGGAGAATCACTTGAACCCAAGAGGTGGAGGCTGCTGTGAGCCGAGATCACGCCACTGCACTCCAGCGTGGGCAACAGAGCAAGACTCCATCTCAAAAAAAAAAAAAAAAAAAAAAGGAAGAAATATTTTGTACACATGGGGTGTCGCTATGTTGCCCAGGCTGGTCTCGAACTCCTGGCCTCAAGCAGTCCTCCTGCCTCAGACTCCTGCAGGCGTGAGCGACCGTGTCAGCCTACATTTCCCTTTCTAGAGGACTTTGTCAGTCTCTGCAGTCAGACAGTAAACTCTGGGGTGACTCAGGTCCCTGTCTGGCTCTGCGTGCCTCGTCAAAGGGCAGGCCAGGAGTCCCAGGAATCAGGATCCCTGGCTCCTTCTCTCCCAGCCCAGCGCTGGAGTTCCAGCTTCCATGATTCCCCTGGGGGCTGCCTGAAGCCCCCACACCAGAGTGCCAGCCCAGGGCTATGGCCGCCACCACAGCCACCCTATGAAAGGGGCTCAGGGACCCCTAGAAATGGGCCCACCAGGCATCAGGTGATTTCTTGTTGCAGACTCACCACCAACTCCCAAGCCCCCGGCGCCGCCACCTGCAAGGCAAAGAGAGGCGCTGTGACAGTGCCCACTTCCGGGGAGCCCGCTAAGCCTTCACGCCAAGCATGGATGCAGCCGGAGGCGGGGGGCTGGGGGCAGTGTGGGCTGCAAGATGCCAAGTTCTGGGCTTGAGTGCCAGGAGCCCTGGGCTCTGCCTCCGCTCACTGTGTGGTCTTGGAGCGGTCCCTGGCACTCTCTGAGCCTCAGTTTCCCCCCTTTGCAACATGGTAGAAAAGCTATCTCTCCTCCAGGGACCTTGAGGGGCATGAAATGTGTTTTGTTTTTCTTTATTTTTGAAACAGGGTCTCTATCTGTCACCCAGGCTGGAGTGCAGTGGTGCCATCTCAGCTCACTGCAACCTCCGCCTCCCAGATTCAAGCGATTCTCCTGCCTCAGCCTCCCGAGTAGCTAGGATTACAGGCATGAGCCACCACACCCAGCTAATTTTTGTATTTTTTTTTTTTTTTTTTTTAAGACAGAGGCTTGCTCTGTCACCAGGCGCCAGGCTGGAGTACAGGCGCAATCCGGCTCACTGCAACCTCCGCCTGCCGGGTTCAAGCAATTCTCCTGCCTCAGCCTCCCTAGTAGCTGGGACTACAGGCACGCGCCACCATGCCCAGCTAATTTTTGTATTTTTAATAGAGATGGGATTTCACCATGTTGGCCAGGATGGTCTCGATCTCTTGACCTCGTGATCTACCCGCCTCGGCCTCCCAAAGTGGTGGGATTACAGGTGTGAGCCACCCTGCCGGGCATGAAATGTGTTTTTAAAAAGCTGGCGTTCCCTGTTTTTGTAAGAGGTCAGCAAGAAGGAGGGGAGGCTCTATACGTAGCTCGGGGTCTAGCCTCGTGTGACCTGAGGCTGTGGGATCCACCCCTCGGTGCCGGCTCAGTCCTTCCAAGCAGGAGATGATGCAGGAGAGGAAGGGGAGGTGGCTGGAGCTCCAGGGCAGGGCCCAGGGGCAGGCAGCCTGGCGTACCTGGGAAAATGGGAGACAGTCCGAAGCCGGGTCTTGCTGCCACTCCTGCGGGAGAGACTTTGGGTTGGTGGGTTGGTGTGGGTGGGACCCGGGTCCAGACTCACCAGCTCACCCCAGACCCTCTGTCTGGGACCACCTCTTCTCTGTCCCCCCAACTATAGCATTTTTTATCTTTTATTTCATTATTTTTTTGAGACGGGATCCTGCTCTGTCACCCAGGCTGGGGTGCAGTGGGGTGATCTTGGCTCACGGCAACCTCTGCTTCCCTGGCTCTAGCCATTCCACCTCAGCCTCCTGCGTAGCTGGGGTTACAGGCAGCCCACCACACCCAGCTAATTTTTGCTTTTTTTTTTTTTTAGTAGAGACCAGGTTTCTCCATGTTGATCAGGCTGGTCTTAACTCCTGATCTCAAGAGATCCTCCTGCCTCAGCCTCCCAAAGTGCTGGGATTCCAGGCATGAGCCACTGTGCCCGGCCCGTCTCTCCCACTACAGCCAGAGTGGCTTTCTCAATATAACATGCCCCCACCTAGCAACCAGGTGTGGCCTGAGCTCAGCCTGGCACTGTCCCCAATCTTTCAGCTTGCCCCTTTGCCCAGGACATCGGTGGTCCTAGAGTACCCCTCGAGCCCGCCTCCTGTCCTTGTGACAGACAGTCCCCCTTTAGATCTGGGCAGAGCTGAGGATTACACAGCAGAGCTGGCTGCCCCTACCTCCAAGTGGGAACTGCCCGGCACCCCCTAGGACACCTCCAAGGCCAGCAGCACCTAAGAAGAGGCAGGTGGGGTCAGGACAAGGTACACCCATCTGGAGGAGGCCCTGATGTCCCTGCTGGGTTCTGGGATAAGGAATGCCCTAGATAAGATCTTCAGGGGTAGGGGGAACCAGAGGGAGGCCTGAGCTGGGCTTGGAGAGGGTGGGGGAGGGTGGCGATGGGCATGGCAGAGGGCGCAGGCCACTGGCAGGAAGGCATGGGGGGAACTCACCGTATTTAGCTGCTTTGGCGGCTACAGCTGGAGATACACCTGGGGAGATGAGGGACAGGAGAGCTCAGGAATGCCACCTCCCTGCCAGAGTCAGGCCCTGTCTTCTTTTTTTGTCTGTCTTGAGGCAGAGTCTTGCTCTGTCACCCAGGCTGGAGTGCCGTGGCACGATCTCAGCTCACTGCAACCTCCCAGGTTCACGCGGTTCTCCTGCCTCAGCCTCCTGAGCAGCTGGGATTACAGGCACCCACCACCAGGCCCAGCTAATTTTTGTATTTTTGGTAGAGACAGATTTCACCATGTTGGCCAGGCTGGTCTCAAACCGCTGACCTCAGGTGATCCCAAAGTGCTGGGATTACAGGTGTGAGCCACCGCGCCTGCCTGGGCCCTGTCTTCTGACCTAAGCACCTTTTACCGTCTGCTCATGGACTCGCCCTCCCAGTATCTATTCCTCATCTCCCCTTCATCTAGTCCAGGGTCTGGTCCTGTTGCCCAGGCTGGAATGCAGTGGCTCGATCATAGCTCATTGCAGCCATGAACTCCTGGCTTCAAGTGATCCTCCTGCCTCAGCCTCCCAGTAGCTGAAATTACAGGCACACACCATGCCTGGCTAATTTTTAAATCTTTCGTAAAGATGGCAGGTGGGGGGTGGTCTTGCTACGTTGTCCAGGCTGGTCTCGAACTCCTGGCCTCAAGCGATCCACCCAATTCAGTCTCCCAAAGTGTTGAGATTATAGGCATGAGCCACAGTGCCCAGCCCCAAAAGTCTTAATTGTTAAGCTCCTACTATGTGTTTGGCCTGAGGCACTCACAGGAAGAGCCGTGCAGGCGGGTTTAGGGAGGAAGATACAGTGACAGCTCAACAGAGTGGCACGCGATCTCGGCTCACCCCAACCTCTGCTTCCTGGGTTCAAGCGACTCTCCTGCCTCAGCCTCCAGGGTAGCTGGGATTATAGGCGTGCACCACCACACCCTGCTAATATTTGTATTCACACCTATAATCCCAGCACGTTGGGAGGCTGAGGCGGGCCGATCACCTGAGGTCAGGAGTCAAGACCAGCCTGGCCAACATGGGCTCCAGTGATTCCACCAGCGTCTCTACTAAAACTGTAAAAATTAGCTGGGCGTGGTGATGCGTGCCTGTAATCCCAGCTACTCAGTGAACTGAGAAAGGAGAATCACTCGAACCCAGGAGGCGACAAAGTTGACCACAATGGCGGAGACTTAGGGAAAGCAATTTCTCTCCAAGCTTCGATTTCCTTCTTGGAGAATGGCATGAGCATTGTTCTCTGAATCGACTCCCACGGCCGTGGTTGGGGGGTTGGGGGGCGGTTTGGAAGAGGGAGGGGGAGGCTTGGGACCCTGGCAAGAGGGGAGGGGGAGGCTTGGGACCCTGGCAAGAGGGGAGGGGGAGGCTTGGGACCCTGGCCAGAGGGGAGGGGGAGGCTTGGGACCCTGGCACTAACGGACGCTGCAGCTCTTGCCTGCCACGTTCCTTGTTATTATTTTGCTTTGGGATCAGGTCTTGCTCTGTTGCCCAGGCTGGAGTGCAGTGGCGTGATCATAGCTCCCTCTCTGCATGTTGTCGGGGACCAGAGGGGAGGAAGGGGTCCGTGAACCCTAAGGAGCAGGTACCGTGGCGGTGGACTGGCTGGGAGGGAAGAAGGACATCTTTCTGATTCCTTCTTTCTTTCTTTCTTTTTTTTTTTTTTTTTTTTTTTTTCTGCCTGGAGT